TTCTCTGCTTGGTGCAGGTGGTGTCTGTGTCTGAGAGTGCCTCTCTTGTTCTAATTTTTAGTCTTAGTTCACTAGGAGTTCTTGGTTAAATTGGTGCTATTGGGCTGTTTCTTCAGGAGCAGCTGATCTCAGTTGGTGAAGTATATACTTATGATTCTGGTGATCTGGTTTGGTGGCTGGGCAGCGCCTTCTTCTGTGTTCCCAGGTCACGTTTTGTTCATTTGTCAACTCCTCAGCTGATCTCGTTTCTTCAGACTTCAAACTGTAGGGATCTGAATCCTCTCCCGGATGGATTTCTGTTGAATGGGGCAATCTCAACACCTCCAAGTTGTTTGCTTTCACAGGATCAGCAGGTGGGCCCTGGGTTGGCTTCAGATGGAGTGTTCATATTCATTCTGTTTCTGTCCCACAGAGATAGCTTCTTCCCCGGGTGATGGGGTTAAAAGCATTCCTGTACCAAGCTCTTGATTAAGAGCTTGTTTTCACTAGCTCTTCAGCGGGTAATAGCTCAGTTTCTGGTCTTTATTGCAACTCTGTTTTGGCTGCCACCTCCTGGGGCTGCCTGCCTGTGTACTGGGATTGTCTGCCTCTGCCAGGCCTACCTGCCTCTGTTGGTTGCCGCTGGGCCTACCTGACTCTGTGGATTGCCGCTGGGCCTGTCTGTCTCTGCCAGCCGCCACAGGGCCTGTATGTCTCTGCCAGCTGCCACTGGGCCTGTTTATCTCTGTGGGCCACCACCGGGCCTGTCTGTCTCTGCCAAACACCGCGAGGCTTATCTGCCTTTGCTGGTGGCTGCAGGCCCCCATGCCTGTCTACTGAGATTTCTCCACCTTCTTTATGTTGACATTTAGTGCTATGAATTTTCCTCTTAGCACTGCTTTCATAGTGTCCCATAAGTTTGGGTATGTGGTGTCTTCACTTTTGTTGATCTCTAGGAAGTCTTTAATTTCTTTCTTTCTTTCTTCCTTAACCCATTGGTGATCCAGTTGAGCATTATTCAGTTACCATGAGATTGTGGGTTTTCTATAGTTTTTGTTGTTATTGAAATCTAACTTTAAACCATGGTGGTCTGATAGAATGCAAGAGGTTATTCCAATTGTTTTGTATCTGTTGAGATTTGCTTTGTGACCAAGTATGTGGTTGATTTTAGAGAAGGTTCAATGGGTTGATGAGAAGAAGGTATATTCTTTTTTTGTTAGGATGGAATGTTCTGTAGATATCAATTAAGTCCATTTGAGTCATAACATCAGTTAAGTTCTTTATTTCTCTGTTAAGTTTCAATTATGAGAT